TTCAGTATCAGCTCTCCTATCAGTAAAATGTCACAATGCCAATCTTCCACAGCAGCTATGCCAGAAGCTTCTATATGCTAGAAGATTCTATGTTATTTCCCCCATGCAAACATGCAACATTTACAGCTACCTCCCTTCATTTCCACTGCCACCACCTCAAGCCCAGTGGCCATTATCTTTTGCAATCACGGCTTTCTAAATGCTTAAATGACTCGTGTGTGCAACGGGTATGCACTTATGTAGATTTTATTCAAACCTAAAACTTTTTGTCCAATCTCATCCTTGCTTATTATATTCTTATTAATTTACTTGCATATTATACTTAGCCAGAGCTATCTTCAATGCATCCAACAAACCAAGGTCCTTCTCCCTTCAGGTCTTTGCTCAGGCATTTCCTGTTGGTTAGAAGTCTTGTTTCCGTTCCTTGTATATCTAGTTCTTTCTCCTATTATTTTGTGGCTTCAGCTGAAATGATACCATTTAAAAAGTAACTTTCTCTGACACCATATTCAAAGTAGATCTCTGTTCTTTCTTTGTTTTCCTCTGCCCAGTTGTGTTAATTTTCCTTTAATCCAGTTGTTAAAATTTACATTACATTATTCATTCATTTACATATTTTATGTCTCTCCTCACTAAGTTTCATGAAAAACAATACTTTCCCCCCTTTCTTTCCCTAACAGCTGAGAAACTTATTATTGAAGTATTTGCCACTGCTGAATAAAATGATTCTAAAAATTTGTGAATATCTATTACATACCCAGCATTGGTATCAAGATATCAAGACATTGGTTTATTATCTCCTTTTTATGGATCTGTGACAGTTACATGATAAGAAGAAAAAAATGGAATCGAAGGAGGTCAACAAAAGTTATTTTTTAAAACCCAGACATAATTGATGCCAAATAGCACAGTTCAACTTCTATAGAGGATAATAAAGCTTAAATTACACCCCACTATACTTATTTATAGTAACAGGCAAAGGTCTTTCATGAAGGAAAATGAGCTGAAGCAGTGTTACCTCATTCTCAAACAATTAATATCAGAGACTAAACAAGAGAGCTTGACTCACACCCAGAATACAATATTTGCGGTTCTGTTTCTGTGTCAAGGAAGCATCTGGAACAGTTATCCTAATTCTCAGTATATGGTGAGCACAAAGTTAGTAGCTGAATTAAAACCCTAGAAATAGCCTACGAGGGGTATTGAATGTAAAACAGTTAAGGGAAGTTCTCTCTCTTCCATCTTTGGTTCTGAGTGTGGTGTTATCAAGAATCACGATTGATAGTTCATTGAAGTTACTGTTTCTCCACCTGTTACCTGTTCCTCCACCTGTCCAGCCAGGTTACTGTTCTCTTCAGACAGAACCTGGGTTATCCCCAGCTGACTCCTTTTCAGCACTTGATAGGTGTTTCCTGTCTCTTGTGATGTTTGTCTTACATTAAGAAGTCTTTTCCTTAAGGTAACTACAGTTTCCCTCATTTCTTCAGCTTTCTTTTTGCCTAGAGAATTTGAGTATTTTCTTGCCATTTTTCTCATTTCTAATTTTATTATGTATTTGCCAGAGAGAATATTTTATGAGGGGAAAAGACAGATGTTTAGAACATCATTTGCCACTCTAAGACTTAGTTTAGTCATGGCACATAATTTTCGTTCAGTACATATTTAATGACTAGTCCACACCTATCGGATGTAACATCCTGATAGACGTGTGATGTGTCCATCATCTCTATTGATTTCTAATTTTGAAAACCTCAGCATAGAACTTCATTTCTACTTTGGTCATCAGAGAGGAGTAAGTGCCGATGATCTTTTTATTCATCCTATCAAATGGAGGGCCAAGTAATTTCTAGATTGTTTTATTATGCTGTCATTTAAATGAAGAATAAAAATATGCAGCCTCCTATAACTTTTGATTTTATATAAATTACCTATACCTATTGGGAACAATTTAAAAATAGAAGTAACCAGCAATCAGAAAATGCCATATTAACATTTAATTATGAAATGAAGGGATTATTTAAAAGGATTCTAATCAAAAGGAATTCGTGTTGATTTTGTATAATATGGACGGTGAACTATTTCTCTGTCATAGTGGTTGTTATTCTGTGAAGGGAACAGATTCAAGAAAATGTCACCTTTCACTTCAGAATCATGAGAAGGTAATAGGAGCAGACATGAATTCCAATTCTACTTTCAAATTGAACCTTTGCCCATTTTAGCAGTGATGAATCAGAAAAAGGAGATGTGTTTAGAGGAGAGTGATCTCCCTCCTTTCTTTGTCTTTAGTCTTTAAGTCCAGCTCAATGGAAAAGAATCAAGCACAGCAGAATTCTCTGTGTATATTAGTTTTCATCTTGTGAAATAAAAACCAAACAAATAAACAACTCTTTATAGATGCTATAGACACTCAATCTATAAGGTTTAAGTAGTTGTTTTGTTTTGCTTCTTCTTCTTCTTCTTCTTTTTTTTTTTTTAATATAGCTTGGCCTAGATTATTGCTAACAATCTCCAACTGGTCCCCTTGTGTTCTGCCTTAAATCCACACCTTCAAGGCAAGCCAGATGAGGTACCTGCATTATTTTCTCTGAGATTGTTGTAGGCATTAATTGAAGTAAAATATTGAGATGACTGGGAATTTAGTTTTAATTCAGTTTTTGACATTTGAGTGTGTGATTACCTGATAGCCAATAGTCTAATTTCAAAGTGAGTTAATCATCTATGTGCTATTATGAGAGATGATTGAAAATGTATCTGTGTTGAACTTCTGTGAGTTTACACTATTCAGTATGAACAACAAAATCCAAATTTTGAAAAAGCTTAAATGTGTAACTGAAGCCATTGAAAGTGACCTAGGAATGACAGAATAAATCAAACGTGAGTTCTGACTAGCACAAAGGATTTGAGGAACTCAGAGCTGTTTGAACAACCAAAAGTGCAGCCATCAGTTGTGTGTCCAAACATCCAAAGATCTGATCTCTTCATGTAAAAATGAACTCTAAGAAACATGCCTCAACTGATTCATCAGAGGATAAGGTAGTGCAGTAGACACACACACACACACACACACACACACACACTTCTTCATAGAGTGAGTCATTCATTTAAATTTGCAAAAAGCATAAAACAAAGAATCAACTCTTTTTTTTTATTTTGATCTTGTATAGGAAAGGTGATAAAACAATGTGTTTTTTTTCCCCCTAAGGATAAAAGCTGTTGAAGAATCATTAAAACCTGGGAAACAGTCAAAATCTACAGGATAAACCTAGATTCCTGGAGGCCTAAGACATGCATGTCAATATCACAAGTGAAGCCAATGTTGGATTTTGGAACTATCAATGCCATTGACTCTCTGAACTTGGGTGATGAGTTTTGAATGAACAATGAAATTTTGTTGAAGTTCTAACTTGTTTGATAGATTTGGTATGATTGTCAAGGCCTGGCTCACATATGGGGAATCACTACATTACCCCAGCAACGATTTGGCCCACACAGTCTTAACCTCAAAACTGACCTGCATATATTCTGTCCACGTCTTCTCAAACTCTCTGTCACTCAATTCACTAGCTTAGCTAAATGATATTCACTGTGAAATAGATATGTGTGTGTATAATACACTCCATCCTCAACGGATCACAAAGGAAAGATGTTCAAAAGATACTGATAGTGATCAATGCCATGAGATAAATGAATATAACATATATTTTTTAAAAAGCCTCCTCCACCTCAAGGTGAAGGTTTGGATTATAACATTTGTGAAGTTTGGGTCTTTGAAATGAATCAGCTTTGCTCTGTGACTACGTATACGTGTGTGCGGGTGTGCATAGGGGTGAGTGTGTGTGTGTGTGTTTATTTTGGTAGCTGAAAACAATTGTTACCCTTCAGATATGTGAGAGCAGTCTAGGGGAAGTATCCACTGTTTTCTATAAGAAGGTAACACATCGAGCTTTCATAATAATGAAATAAAAGTACAGAGCTATTCCTTTCTTTAGGGGAAAAAAATCTGACTCTTGTCAGGTAAGCTGCTCAGCAAATAGTAAGTTTAATTCCTAACACCCACATGAGGCACAAGAATAGTTGGATTAACAACTCCAGTGTCATGCTGTCAGCTGCTGTTTATTTAAATTAAAATGTCACCATCCAGAAATAAATTAGGAAGTTGAAAAACGATAAATTTCTTAAACATACAGTACTTTGGCACCTTGTTAAAATAAATCTATTACATTTGTGTTTTTTAGAACTTTACACAGACTATTTCCATTTTGACATTCAGAGTATAGCAGGTTTTGTTTTTGTTTTTGTTCTTCAACTTTCTTTTTCCTTCCCTCTTGCTAGCTTCCCTCCCTTCCTTTTCTTGCCTCCCTCCCTTCTTTTCCCCTCCCTCCCTCCTTCTTTCTTCCCTCCCCCTCCCTAAAATCTTTTTCTGACTCCATGATCCTACCTATGCTATATGAGACAAGTAAAAAAAAAAGTTACATCAATAAACAATGATCAGACACTCTACTTGCATGTCTAAAACATAGCAGTCATCTATGTTTATCTAACTAGAACTAGATTTTTACAGATTTCAAAATTCACTTCCTACAACTGATCTTTCCAGGTTCCACTGTAAGGTGTTCCTCCTATGTTTGCTATAAACTAAACACACCCTCCACAGGAGCATCTATCCCGGCTTCCTGTTATCTGAAGGCTAAAATTTGGGCTCCATCATTCAAAGACCTCCCCGATTATCATCCATATCCTGAGATATTTTAAGATAGTTATTTGGCTCTGGGTTCATGGCACAGCAGGCTGTTCTACTTCAGGAGCCAATTTGGTCATAAGTAGGAAGAGAATGAGCATCTCAGGAGGAAAAATACTCCCTCTCTATTCCCATGTGGATGCTTCTTGCCTGCAACTTTGCAGATCGTAAAGGATGCAAATGCACACTATAATGCAGGTTAATCAAATAGGAGACAGTTGTATACAAACATATTCAGCATTAACAACATGGAGATATTTACTTGGCCGGGTTTTCCATTTTCACATAAAAATGCCTCATATTCGGATGCGAATTCAGGGGCGTTGTCATTGACATCCAGCACTTTAATAGCAACAGGTACTCCTGATATCTGACTGTGGTTCCCTATGGGAAGGAAAAAATAACATCAGCATGGAGGGTATTTCATTGAACGTGCAACTCAACTTTCTTCTTGAAAGCATGTGTGTCGCTTTCCACTTTCCGTAATGAGAGTGTTTTCAACCTGGCAACTGTGGTGCCTGACCCCTCAGTCAGTAAAAATATAAAACGCTTGACTGCTTAAAAAAAAAGTATCTGTCAGCCATCCCTGGTGGCGTAGCGGGTTAAAGCACAGCACTAAGAAGCTTAATCCTCTTCCGCATGAGTTCGATCCCTGCCTGCCCCGGAGGTGACCCACATGGCGCGGCAGACCTCTCCTGGCCCGCCCGCTGCTCCCCTCAGCAGTGTACTTCTTCCATCTGCCTGTTTTGTACCCAACTCTGTCTCTGGTGAATCCTCTCGCCCTCCGCATCTCTGGCCTGTACCCCAGTTCTGTATTAATAAATAAATAAATCTTTAAAAAAAAGTATATGTCATTATTCTAAACACCATTTGCTGGAGCTTAGCTTAAGAAAAACTATCTCTGAATAAATCAAAAAAGCACTTCCATCATGAGGAATGCTTTATGTGTTGATAAAGTTCACTACATATATATAAAAAAAAAAACGCTTATGCCACAGATTTATCTTTGTTTATCTCAATTATATATTAAAGATGAATCTGAAAAACTCAGCTAAAAGCCAGAATCAAACAACTGTTGAGAGGCTGTCCTTAACAATGATAAAAAGATAATCTTCCAGATGGAGAAATCGTGTCATATATATATATATTATTAAAAATTGACTTTGGGATCTTCTTGAATAAGTTAAGACAACATCATTTTAACATTGTCATTTCCATAAAGATTTTTGTCATTGCAAACAAATAATAATTTAATATATCAGTCACTTCAAATAGCAGAGGACCATGTAATCTTTAATCCTTAAGTCCTTAAAACTCAAAAAGTTGCATACATATCTGTCCATCAATACATTGCTGATGCGGGACATGTGACAATTTTGAAATACAGGACAGTTTGACTCTGACTGTACCATGAGATAATCTTTGATCTCTTGTAAATTATACAGAAAGCACTGGAGATGGCCAATTTCTTGTGTTTCTGTGGCACTGAATATTTATCAACAAGCCAAGAGGGGGGAAAATGTTTGGCTATTAATTATGTAGACACAGGCTTTAAACTGATTATCTCAAACTCGTTTTCTTTGACATCTGATGAAATTGTCTCTAGAATCTTCCAATATTTTTCATTAAATATAGTAATATTTCTAAAGGAAATACCAAGTACTCATAAACATGTCATAAATGTATAGCCATGTAAACTCACTAGCAAAGTTATACCATTTGAATTTAGTTAATTATCCACTATTCTTATTTGATTAATGATGGATGGGTAAATATTACCCAGAGAATTTCAGATACCTCAGTAATTGATTACTGAAAGTCAAAACCCCCAAAATCAAGTGAATCATCTTAAACGTATCTTATTTTTTACTACCTTATCTTTAGTGAATTATTCATTCTTCATTTCGAAAGGACACATGTGCCTCTCTACTTCAGATGGGAGAGAAAGTTTAGCATATGATCCCAAGCCATGGGACTTACATTTTGTGCCTTATCTACTTGAATAAGGGAGATAAATATGGCAAAGGGTATTTGAAATAAGATATGACTTTATTCTTAGAGCTTGACATCTCTTTTCCAGACTGATCATGATATGAATGGCAGCTTCTATAGAGGGGAAGGTTATATAGTGCTAACACTAAACCAAGAACATTTGAGTCCCAGTTTTGCCTGGTCTCCCCACAAGTTACTGTACCTCATTTTATTCCTGAGGAAACAGAAACTCAAGAAATTAATATTTGTTTAACATGACTGTTGTATTTTATGAGAACATTTAAAAGTGCTCACACAGTATTCAGTGCATATTGAAGAAAGTTTTCCTTTTGTAATTAACATCAGCACCAGACATAGTGAGTCTTCAGTATATACAGCACAAGCCATTTCACAGCATCGCTCAGTCAATCCTCAATAAAGAGCTATGAAGTAAATAATGTGATTTTTATATTTTAGATGTGGCAAGTGAAAAAGGATCACAGGCCTTCCCAAGTTTACTCAACTGGAAATTAACACAGAGACATAGCTTGGATAATCTTTGAAACATGAGTCATCTTCACAGGATGTTAATGATGAAGTCTCCCAAAAGATCTATTTGTTGTTTGTTAAGGCAACAAATCACTCTCTTTGCCCCAAGAATGCTTATAGACTTGCAAGTTTTTATCTCGAGATGAACAACTATTTGAAATTAAAATATCAAAAGTCAAGCCGGATATCAAATAGGTTGTACTGCTACTAATATTTTCAGGGTTGCATTAATAACCTTCAGCCACTCATGCGAGACCACCTAGTTTACCTTCCATAGTTTGGCTCAATGTACTACTTTACCCTAGCTGAGTCCCTTTAACTGATTATTTTTATTCTGTAATTTCTGCTTTTAAATTCTAAAAGCCACTGGTTATTTATTTATTATTTGTAATATTTATTCTTTCCATTCAATTTCCTAAACCAATACTTGTATATATAATTTTAGGAAACTTCTATTTATGTATTTCTGTTTTTGATCTCTGTAACCACTCAATCAGTAAACAGCCAATCATTAACACAGGCTTAATCTATATGTACAGAATAAAGAGTCACTAATGGATACATAGCCTTAGGAAATTGCAAGTACAGAATAGTTACCATACATACTCCTTCAACACAAGGAGTTGATCCTTGGGAAGTAAAGCAAATGCTAATCTTATTGAATCACATTCATTAGTAGTGGTTGGTAGGCCAGATCTACCCAATTCAATACTCTTTGTTTTATTTCTTCCTTCTCTCCTCTCTCTATCTCTCTCTCACACACACACACACACACACCAGACAAACATGCATCTACAGGCCATTCTAACCATTTTGACAACAGACTATGCCAAGGCCTATGTTTTCAATTTCACTCTCCTGTCTTTTCTTGACCTCAATGTTTCAATGTATTGCAATTATCTCCTACAACCAGATGGTCAGCAGGTGTAATACTCAAGTATAGAAGACGAAGATGCTCTGTGAGCTTCTAACTGGGATAAATGAACATTCACATGATCAACATTTTCTCAAAAGCGGTATCTGGGAGCGACCTTCTCCTACCATGCACTTACTCATGGGACACAAATTCTGCATTGGGCAAGAGGACACTGGGCACCCTGGAGCCCTGGAATCCTGATGTCTCTTTTTCTTTCTTTTTTTTTTTTTTTCGTCATTCTTCATTTTGTACATTTTTCCATCTCAGTTATAGTCCCTATGGGCTTCTTACCACCAATTCACCTGTGTGCCATCACCATAAAAACTGGGGTGGGAAGAGGGCATGGGACTATGTTTCTTATTCTTAAGGAGGAGACTTCATGCTGACAGAGGTGAACTAGGAAGGGTCAAGATATTCCTTAGTGAACACATGGCCTGCCTCAATGACCACATAGCTTCTATGGATGTGTGGTGTGTGGGGTGGGGTGAGAGAGGATTCACCAGAGACAGAGTGGGAAGAAGAACAGGCAGATCCACTGAAATCCACTGCTGAGGGGAGCAGCAGGTGGGTCAGGAGAGGTCTGCTGTGCCATGTGGGTCACTTCCGTGGTTGGGGATCAAACTCAGGCCAGAGCACACAGCTTCTAAAGCAGAGTGTTACTTAGAATTTCCAGACCCATGATCTCCAGGTTTTATGTGCGGCTAGGAGAGAAGGAGATACATAAAGCAAAGAGCTCTGTATGACTTATATAGGAACTGACATGATTTGCAAACGAATGTGGAGAAGGTTAAATCTAAGCATGATCTCGAAAACAGTGGAGGATGTTATAGGAAAATATGAATAGATTGGTTAGACATGGTAGACTTACTACAGGTCAGCAAGCTGCCTCAGAGATCAGGCAAGCCAGAGGAAGTCAACACAGCCCTTGGTTTTGGCTGTATAATCCAATCTCTGCCACCTTCTTCATGGGGTTGTCTCCTTATCTGTCTTCTACTCCTCTGTCTCTTATAAGAACACATTATTAGGTTTAGGAACTACCTAGGTAATCTAGGGTGATCTCTTGTTAAGGTCCTTAACTATATTTTCAAATTACCCTCACTCCAAATGACATCATCACAAGCCCCAGAGTTAGGACCTGGCCATTTCTTCTGGGAATCATTCTATATTTCCTCTTTCTGAAAACAAAGGCATTTGTGACTAAATCGAATGACACCATGACAAGCCTGCTCTTGTCCTAGAAAATGAAGATATGTGGAAAGTATTTAGTTGTACATGCTTCTATGAATTTATTCTTCAAAATTTGGTAAGCTATAAGCTCAAGGTTATGAAATAAACCATAACTTTCATCGGAGAATTTTGATGGCACTCTTTTGTCACTCACTGATTCAATTATTCTTTTATCATGCTTCTCTTTGTCTGTTCAATCAATATTCATGTCTATATTTTCAGTGACTGAGGCAAAACTCCTGCAGTCAAGGAATCCACAGTCTAGGAGATACCACATTATAATGTTTTGTTTATACACTTGTCCATTCTATAAAACATCCTTTACAACATGCAATGGAAGAATATAAGGAGAGATATTTTCCTACAGTCACAGCAAAGACTCAAAAGAGAGGCTGACCTTTAAATTAGCTTTCAGTAATGACTAGAAGCACCCAAGTGAGGAAAGATGGACACGTTTTTAGATTGAGTTAGTCACATGCAAAAAGACACAGAAGCCCCCAAAACATGTCATCAGCTAAAAGTGGGTCCCAGGAGAGACTCATAGTGTGAATCTCAGGTGAGAAAATTGAGGCCAAATCAGGAGGATTCTTTGCTTACATGATGATAAGAATGGGTTATATCAAGTGAACCCCGGCAAGCCAGAAGAGCATTTCTGGATGACATTTACAATTTCATTTTATTAATATTTTTTAAGATTTACTTATGTGGAGAAGAACTGGGA